AGCGAACTGACGGTTTTTGCGTTTTACTCGACCTCTTATAAAGCTCTTTCGGATGAGTTTAGATCGAGTTTAAAATGTTAAATTTCATTAAACGCAGACATTACCCTTTCTTTCTGACTTTTGGGAGCTTAAACAGAGGACGACGACGACGACTTTGAAAACGCCCCCAAGAAATTTGCTTTCAAACTTAATCGCGTCTATTTGACTTTATCCAGGTTAAAAAAGATAAAGGAAAATTCGTTGTCGTATGTTGAGTCATACGTTGACGTCGAATTTGGAGGTTTCACGTTGTAGTATGTACTAAAAAGCGTTTGCTCACAAAACCAATTATTTTTTTCCACGTTGTCCTCGTCGTCGTGGTTGCAAAATCTTGACCCTCGGACGCACACCCAAAGTCATACCCCCCACCGTGGTACAAGGAGGGAACTCCCCTCCTCCCCCCTTGAGGTTTTGATATGTTCCAGTATTTCAAAACGATTTTGCCTTCGGTGGAAAGCCTTTCATCTTCTCTACAAGATGAGGTATATTTTATGGGTGCTGGCGCTGCTGGGGGCCTGTGACGTCACCAGCAATAGTCGCCATCTTGGATTTTCTCAAAAAACTTAGAAATCAAGTTAAACAGTGACAACTCATAATTTTTTGCACTTAACAAAAATTATGCATTGGTTCAATTTTACCTGTTACCTTCCCTCCGGGAAGTTTTTTTAAAGCTGTCCTCCCAGGTGTAGGGGGTGGTGCAAATCAAAGGTAACTCCTCTTTGACTTTGCGAAATCCGTGTTATTTCTCGCGCAGTTTGCACGTTGCAGAACTCAAGACTACGAGTTTTCAAGGGAAAACGCAAGGATTTTATATTTGCCAGGGAGTGGTTGGAGAGGAATAGCCTATCAAAATTAAAGTCTGTAGTTGAAAGTATGTGCGTATGATACGTACTCTAATGGTTTTTATACGCGTAAAATGTGTTCAAAACATGAACAGTGCATTTGAAAACCAAAACGGAGGAAAAACTCTTAAGCGCCTTTTTGATACTTATAGAATATTGGATTGAATCTGTGTTTATCTTTCTCTCAATAAACTCTAGCAAACGTCAAAAAAAGTTCTGAAAACGGCTCGTTTTGCTGTTGTACGGAAATCAATATTGCTCTCAAAAAGATGATGTACCCAAAACAGCGTATGTGAGGTCGATCAGGAGTTCAGGGGTGGGGAATAGAACGACCAGGGGCCCAGAAAGCTCTTTTATGTTTCCCGGGCTTGCATTCAAGATCAAAGTTTTAATGATTTTGAAATGATAAAATGAAACCATCAGTTAACATCGAAAATGAACTTGTTTGCGAGGTTGGAATTGTGCTACTATTCAACAGGTTTCGATATTAAAATTTGCCTTTGGGCCCCAAAAGTTATCGGGATTTTCGGGCCCCTGGCTAGAAAAATACTCCATTTTGTTTCATTAACTGACAGTTTTATCATGTTAGATGCAAAACTATTAAAACTTCTATCTTGCATGTAAACAACAGCTTTACGGGCCCGTTACTAAACGGGACTTTCGAGAAACGAGCCTCAGGTATTCAAAGAAAAAAATATCGCAAATCTGAATCCCCGGGGAGGAGTGGTAAACAGGTGAAATAGAACCATGCATTAAGATCGCCAACTGGGACAATTTGCAGTAAGAATACCGCAGCTGAAACGACAACAAAAATTAGCTGGGCATACTGTATGTTTGCAGAGTTAAGGCTAGCCTGTGAACAGGCCTTTGGTCGAGCGGGGAATTAGGGAGAGGGAAAAGCGAAAAGGCCTGTGGACAAGCCTTTGGGACCGCCGTTCCACGGCACCAGCTGTGCATCAGATCCTGATGCAAGTTCTTATTGGCGAGAACACTGACTGTTGAAAGGTCTGATTGACATCGGCTTTTCGGTCGGCACGTAACACGCGTTTGGAAATAACAAAACACTCCAAAGACTGTTAAGCTTGTTCAAAAGCTGTTACCAAGGGAGGAACTACGCGCTCCAGTCAAAAGACTCACACTATCTAAAGGATAGAAAAACACTAGGCTGGAGTTCACCGAGTCAAAATGCAATTCTCCATAGTTGATGTAGCTTCGGTTTAAGCTGCACTTGAATCTTATAACTTTGGATCTGTAAATTACTATCCGTGATCATTTTAAACATTCTGCAAAGAAAACTAACGACTTAGGCCCAGCGTGATACAACATTTCAGAAAAACATTACATTTACGGACTAAAGAAAATCGCTTAGTTATTCAGATCCGGAGGGCACTTTGGAGAAAAGTACGACCCTTATTCAGCCGCAATAAAAAGCTTTACGCTTCAAAAGAGGTCAAAGAAAATGCTCTTGCATCAGAGAGGGCAAATCCTGCCGACCAGAGACAAAAACCACAGTAAATCGATATGTATGCCATGACCTCTCAGTGTGAAACCAGCGGCTAAAACCATATTTGCTCAGTGAAAATGTAGAACCTTCCAGAGCATAATCTACCGAGCAGAGGAAAAAACTTATGGGAACAGGCAGCATTTTGGCGTGAGGTAAACGCCGTGTAGGCCTACCGCCCTCTTTTATTGCTATAAATGCGGGATAAATACCCAAAGGTGTAATTCCTCTCGGCGGTCGAAGCGCTGTTGATTTCTTTGTACTTGTCTTTGGAGGTTCACGTTCTGGAGAAGTGATGATAGTATCTGTACCTTTCGCATTCCAAGTTCGCTCATTGCAGGGGCTTGTTGAATTAGAAACTGAACTAGCAAGACGAACGGCGCGATGAGCACAAGTTAAGCAGCTTAAATCGGAAAAGCTTTCTCCTTGCACAAGAGGAAATCTTGAGCAATCAAATGCTTGCGCTAGTACAACGCTGTCTTGGCCACTGTCAACCAGCAAGGTCTTATTTCTTGAAACGCCAACGACCGGCACCGTATTAATTCTCTTACCGGAGATCAACGATTTTTTTCAAAATCGACAATTAGGCTCGCGGTCCATTTCACTTTGTTTTGAGACGAAGCAAAACACGGATGTTTTCCCTTTAATTTTCCCAGGAGTTACTCACTCGCGAAATTGATTGGCAGATAACGATCTTGCTGACAGATGTTCGGCAAGATAATTACAAGAGGGCGGAATAGCGGCCTCAAACGTGTGTCTACAGGCTCTCTCCCCCCTTCCCTTCCCTTTCCTTGCTATTTTTTTCCCCAGACAGAGAGCCTGTTCACAGGCTAAGTTAAGGCAAATAATCAGTAGGCCAATGAACATGGCGAATTGCATACTGGAAGGCAACTCTGGGAAATCTCAGTATCGTAACTTGTTCCTGTTGCTCTGCATGAAGGAAAATTCAGTTCATCATACAAGGTTAAAAGGCTCGTCTACCAACGGCTTGTGTGCCTGTAAGAGGTATTACAAATTTCAAACTGCTATTTAATGTTAATATAAGTTCTGTATGTACGTACGTACAGGAACGAAAATATATATTGCATTGTCTAGTACTGTATTTTATTTCGTTGGTTAATACGTTACTCTGGTGTTAAATTTGTTAAAAAATGTATGGGACTGTAAAAGCATTGAAGATACGGTTGATACTTGGCTCTTGATGTAAAAGAACGTGGCCTGACTACTGGAACCATCTTCCCTCGCTCAGCGAATCGCAAGGTTTGCAGGCTTTCCAACTCAATTCTAAAAATTTATAAACGGAACCAATAACACCTCAATAACACCCGATTACTGTTAGTGGTAAATATTCTTTATGCTGACGATAAAGCGATCTCAATGAGCTATTCTTTCATGGTCCAGAAAATTAACTTCAATGCGTGGAAATGGTCTTTTCTTCGACAAGTCTGTTAATTTTTATTCACTTTTTCTTCCCAGGAATAGTTAGACGGACAATTAAGAGAGCACTAGCCTGTTCACATGCCACAGCCCCTCTACTTTCTCTTCAAAGTCCGTAGAGCGCGCGTGATAAAATGTAAAAAACCGCGGGAATTTATTGACCGCCAGTGAGGGGATAGGGGTTTGGGGAAAAAGAAAATCGATGCTCCGAGCTCGCCGATGTTTACGAAAAGAACTAAAAGAAAAATCAAACAACGTCTGTGTACAGGCTAAGAGAGCACGTGCTAAGCTAAAAAAGGCGCGACATGCATATGCGTGCGCAAGTGTTTATTCCTTAAATACATAATAGATCTAGGCCCTGGTGTTCGAAAGTTGGATAGCGATATCCGCCGGATAAATAACTATCCAGCGGATAAGTGTTGATCGAGGAAACCAATTACGTTATGTTATCCAGTGGACTGTGATCTATCCGGAGGATAGCGTTATCCTCCTTTTGAGCAACTGGGGCCAAGAGAAAGATGCATAAAACCTAACGTTAGATGTAAATGCTCATGTGTTGGATGACTTTTTCGCTTAATTGAGAGTGTAAGCTTCACGTTTACGTCAAACAGCAAACGCGAATTTGTACCACGTAACTAAGTTTCTCCTTTACTTGTCGTTTACTGTTGATTTTTTAAAATTTTTTATCCATAAGAATTTTTTTCAGCTATTTTTATCTGCTCATTTTCTATGTTGAGAAATTCTCAACTTAAAACTGCCGTTTTTATATTAAAAATTCGACACACAGTTCAGGGTGAGGGAAATACTCTGCGGAGGGAGGCGAGGGGGGTGGGGGCGTAAGGTTTTACGTAACTAGGCCCACTTCATTAAGTGAGGATACCGGGTCACGTGGCAAAAATCAACGTCACCACGGTGCAGGTTTAAACCGTGAAGGCCCGAGTATAAGCATGTAGATACTAGGAGGACTTAGGAGAATAGCAGTTAGTTTGTCCTTGTGGTATAATTCGCCATTATATCTTAATGCGTAAATATGTGACGAGACTTTCCCTTCTGTTTGCTTTTTACCACCTTAAGTTCTTTTATCAAATAACTGAAGGATCAAAAATGGGCTTTGTAAGGTCATGGTCTGGAGGAAGGCTATAACTTGTTATATTTTGCCAGTCTTGGAATATTATGCCGTCTCAATTGTTTCCTGTATGACAGGGCTGGTCTCGAAAAGATACAGATTGTTTTTTAGACCGTTTCTCACCAAGCTTTCCCTCGACTGCATGAAAACTGCCGAAACTTTCAGCCCGTGTAATCGGCTGTGAGTCACCCTTATCGGTTTTATCTTCGGCGTCGGTTTGTTCACATAATCCCTTTATTGAAGCATTTGGAGATGTAGACTCTGCCTTGGTTGCTGGGTCGAAAAACACGTTATCAGATGCGGGACTTACAGGTGAATCATCACCAAACCACGGATTACCCACACCCTTCATAGGAATACACTCATGTACTGTACCAAGACAATTTCCGTTCTCACAGACTTCGCCTTTCGGGGACTCGTTTGTCGAAGGTCGCAAATCTGTGTTTGCAGAGGTAGCGGAAATTTGCGAAATCCGTTTTGACCTCGTGTCATCTTCGGCTATCGTAGATCGCTTCGTACGTGACCGAGAGTAGATCAGGGACGACAGTGTGCCCTTGTAACGCAGTGCTCGTGTCTTGCAGAACCCGAATCGACTAAGCAGCGAGAAGAATTCGCGTTTGAACGCTCTAGTGAAGAAGGCGTAAAGAAAAGGATTGCAGAGGCTGTTCAGTGGAAAGAAAAACACAAGCAGATACTTGGATTCCTTTACCCCGATAAGTGGCTTCCCAAGGGCCGCCACAAGGCCAAAGAAAGCGACGGGTGTCCAGCAGACAAAATCAGTGAACACCAGCAATGCCATTCGTTTTGCAACTTTTGCATCGTTTCTTTGAGGGCCCCCATCAACAGGACCAGGACCCACAACAACTTGAAACATTTTGGTGTACAAGCCCCCGATAACCAGAAATGCCCCAAGATTTAGCACTAAGGCGATGCCTACGTACGCCAGGGCACTCTTGGTGTCGGACTTGAACGGTAAGCAAATAGCGACACCTTGGTAACTGTTGACCCCGGCAATGGGGATGATAGCCATGAGGAAGGCGAACAACCAGCCAGAGATCATAATTTTCACGGCTTTACGTAGCGAGAGCCGGTAGTTGACCTCCATAACGTAAACTATGGCAAAAAATCTTTCCACTGTAATGACTGTTAGTGTATAAACGGACAGCTCTGTAGAAAACACAGCAAGGAAACCCGTGATTTTACATCCCGCACCGTATTGCCAAGCTTTGACATGGTTGTAGTATTCTCCGGAAGTGTCCAAGGATACGCAAACCAGTATGAATATATACAAACCAAGACAAAAGTCTGCAAACGCCAGATTACTCATCAGGAAGTGGTGTACGTTTAGCCGACGATCGCTTGTCAACATGACAATAACTACAACTAAATTTGCCACAAGAGCAACGGTTCCTACAATTAGTGAAACTGCAGTTAGCCATTTTGCGCCCATAATATCTTCACAGGGATGGTAAGCGTCTCTTTTTGGTAAACAAATGACATCACCTGGGGGTGGTGCAGTAACTATAGGGGCACTTGTGTTTGGTGTATTTTCGTGGGTGATGGTAAGTGGAGGGCTAACTTTTCCAGTTGCAAATCCACCCCCCGGGAAAGATCCACCATTGGACCCTGAGGTGGTGATCCCCGGGGGAGTCTTCGGACCGGGCAAAAAGCCGCCGCCACCAGGCAAAAATCCGCCACTGGAACCGGAAGTGGCTACCACGGACGGAGCTAATGTTCCGGGTAAAAAGCCGCCACCACCAGGAACAAATCCACCATTAGAAGTGGGAATAGTTAACTTTGGAGGTGATGTAGAATTCGCAGTAGAATTGGCATTAACTCCACCGGAGCTGCCGTTCACTGTTGGTGCATCTGTAACAAATCCCCAGAAATCTTGGCGCCTTCTCTTACCCCATTCCCATGGTGATTTAGTTGTGGTTCTGTTTGAGGGGGTTGTTTTATTGCCATTTGGACTTGAGGTGTGAATATTTTCAGTAGAAGATGTGCTTGGAATTGTCGACGGACTATCAGTTGAACTTAAACTCGCTACACCCTTCACCTGCCTTCCAATGTCACGTTGATATGTCCCCAGAAAAAAGGAACAGCATAAAAATGAGTTATACTCGCTGACGTATACTTCACGGATGCTATTCAGTCCCGATGGTATGGACCAAAAGTTCTCAATTTTTTCCAGGTTAAGAACTCTCAAATTATCAAGCCCAGTAGCAGACAACGAGGTGATCTTTGTTCCCTTTAAGATTCTGGCGAAAGAGAGGGAAATATAATAGGATTAAAAGATCTTGCAAAATGGTCTGCCTTAAATGCCGCAAAATCAATCTTTTCCAGACAAGCTCTTGGTTTTGTCGCCGTCGTTGTTATTAGTTGTTATTTATTTCGTGCTTAGATCCCACTTTCATACCTGTCTCTCAACTGGCCTAGGAAGATCTGAGTACAACATTAAAACTGCGCTGCTTTAATTAGACATTTGTTTACGCCCTATTTGGTGACCATGGAAACACTTCTTTCTTAAAGGCGCCAAAGTACGCTGCCAGCTATGATCTACTTCAGCCTTGAAAACCAATATTGGTCTGTGGCAAATAGAACGACAGTATCAAGGGTTGTCACAGCCGGCCCAGAAAAGAGCTCCAATGTGCTGCATTTATAAATGACGTCTAATGCCCTTGCCTTTCAAATTCTCAGCTGTTTTTTTGTTTAAAGTATTCATAAACTTACAGTGTTTGCAAGTTAGAATCCGTGAACGCGTTTTCGTCGATTTGCGAGAGCGAAGAATACTGGAGACTCCTAAACACGCAAACTTCAACAATTAGAATTTTCTGAAAGGTCGTTGGTAGTACTCTTGAAGAGTGGTTTATTAGTTTAGGGTATATCTCAGTTAATAAAATTAATAAAAAGCCGACTTAAATGTGATAATTATATAGGCTACGCGTTAATACGATACCGGACGAATTTTCTACCGGGTGGAAAAATTTGACAGGATGCTACGTTCAATATTTTTGCTCTGTTCACAAGAACCTTTGAACGGCTGGGCGTCTAAATTTTCGAACGGTTATTGAAGGTGGTTCCGTTTGACACTAGATCTCATGCTCACCACATAGCTTACAGTGTAAATAACAGTAAGAGGTTAGTGCTAATTATTACAAGCAAGAGAGAAAAATGGGACAGAGGGAAACTCGCAGTCTAGCCCTTACGATATGTGACCTTTTCCGCGGCAGGATTAGCTCAGTCGGTAGAGCGCTTTACTGCATAGCGGAAGGTCGCGGGTTCGGTTCCCGGGACCTGACCAATACTCAGGGTCTTAAAAATAACTGAGAATTGAAGGTACTGCCTTTGCCCTGCAAATAGTTAGACCTTCACGTGGCTCGGATGACCACGTAAAATGGCGGTCCCGTCTCCTATAGGAGACGTTAATACAGTGTCCCCAGTTAGTACGTTCGTGCTAAATACATTGACACTCAATTAAAGTGCATTTTTGTTTTACTTTCCCCAAAGTTATTTTAGACCGACTAAACGCTTGAAATTAATTAGAAGTTAGTTTTCGGAGCTGGAGAGGTCCACAAACTTTTATTCAGTTCTTTCAAGAGAGAATATAGGTGTGTAACCATTAATATTCAGGACTGCATTGTTTGGTTTGAGGCAGTAGCGCTGGACGTGATGACGTTTCAAGCAATGGATTAAAATGAGCGTACGTGCCAGGAATAATACTTCCTTTTTATTACAACCTCTAAAAATAACTTTAGTGAAATTCTCATATCCCGGCCAATACCTAAGAATCTGTCTCTATTCATTATTTTCTCTTGTTACAAGAGGAAGATAAAGAAGAAACAAAATGCTAAGTACTTACAAAGATAATAGCTTCTTGTTATTGCTAAACATATAGGCTGGTATTTCCGTGATCTCTGTGTTATCTAATTTCCTGTAGAGTGAAAAGAGTCAGAAGTTGTTGTTGTTGTTTTTTTATGACCAATTAGTAGCATTGTTGCTTCTATTAACTTATATTCATTCATTGGCATTACTTATTGCGACCCCGTCTGACAGACTGTAACAGATACAACACCAAAGCTGTAAGAAGTACACGCTACCCAGTACCGTGGTAGGACTAGCACAGTCCTCGGTAAAGCGCTTGTAGTTTGAGCGGATGGTCGCGGTTCCATCCCCAGGGCCGCAGCAGTACTTAAGGTCTTCAAAATAACTGAGAAACGAAGGTATTACTGTTGCTCTGTAGCCTGCGAAAACAGCCGGCACTTCAGAACGCCATCACTGGTTTCCCCGCGAAATGACTTCTGAGAAACCAGAGCAGAAATTCAATACTGACGGCGCGTCACTACCCAGATCTGGGTGGTGATGCTGCCTGGTTGGAAATTTGCTTCAACCAATCAGAAGCATTACCCAGATCTGTGTAGTGTCTACTCGGCTGTTTTCTCGGGCTACTTTGCCCTGCAAATGGCTAGAATTTCGTATGGCACGGGATGACCAGGTGTTGCGGCTATCCCGTCTCTAGTAGGGGATGTAAAATAGCGCCCTCAATTAGTTTCAAGCTAAATATATAAACACTTAAATAAAGTGCGTTTTTTACAAACTCCGCGGTGTGGCTGTATTTTACGGATGCCCACAGTCATATCACCCTGGTAGTGGCCGCCATAGACAGCTGATTCGCCCTCACAAGGCCTGCTCATGAGCACGGCACGAGGGACGCCTGAACACGGCCGTTGGTTGTTAAGGGGCCTAGCTTAAGGCTATGCCATGGCTGCTACAATCTCGTTCCCAGAGGCCGCGAAGTTGTGGCTGTTACTGCCCGGGTGATATGGTCGTGCGCATGCGTAGGGTAGTGACTATACAACGTGGTAAACAACGTGGTTTGGTAGTCTGTGCGATCTTTGATTTGAAAAGCGATAATGGGCGCGATCCATTCGACCAAAATTTCCGGAAATTTCGGTCCAAAACTCAATGGAAAAACTGGTTCACCTTTTGAGGTGGTCCACTTTTCCCAGTCGGACCGGTATGAATTTTGGTTGAATGGATTGCGTCCAATAATACTCTCTCACACAACCACTTACAAGTTCATCAGCTCCGGTAGATTTTTCAGTGACGTTCTCGGCAGTGTTTTGATATTGTTGTTGTTTAAGTATCTGAAATTAATAAGAAGATAAGAAAAGTTAGCGAGAGCTTAGATCTAGACCAAACGTCGAACCTTTCAACTCAGTCTAATTTGGGTCGACCTAAATTGACAAATTAAGATCGTCAGTTGTGTCAGACGTACAACTTAGGACTCGTCGAACCAATCTACTGAGTCAGACTAAAAAACAATTTTAATTTATTTCTCTCCTGAACGAGCTATCGAGATTTTTGCGATAACGTATTTCGAGTTAATTTATTAGTCTATAGTTTGTCGCATGTCAACCTCGACAATTGCTCCGGAGATGATCTTCAGACATTCTACCGGTTTAAGCAGACGGATAGAACTTGTTGAACGATCCAAACTCATTCAGTCGAACGTAACTGCGCCTGTCTTTGAACTTTTCATGAACTTAACTCACCACGTTTGGTTCGTCTCATGAAAAGTTCGACGTTTGGCCTGGGCCTTAACTAATATAGTCCATGATCCTACTGATAGTTTTTTTTCCCGGCCTCAAAGGATTATCAGACATAGCCTTTGGTTAGAAACATTGTTTGACTCCTCTGAAAACTCTGCATCAACTTTGATTATCGCCATAGTAATTTGCAGAAATTGAAATTTTTCAAAGGTCTTCCTGACAACTTCGGAACTCGAAACTTCGGTAAAAACAAACGACTTTACATGCACCTCCCACCATCAGACTCTCTAGCTCTACTTTTCAGGTCAGATAAATAAAAAAAAGTGACTGAATTTTACAGTCACTCCATTTGATTTGGCAGCTAAAGAAGTCAAGTCCTTAACTTAGAGGAATTATGCCAGCTGAAATAGATTTGTCTGCTGTAGTAGAGTTCTTTGAGTTCTCTGTGGCCCCCCAACGGATCTCAATATTTGGTTTATTAAAACACACGCACAGCTAACTGACTTTTATACTGTCACTCGATGTGCTCACCTTTAACTAAGAGGAATTAAGTGTACTGTACCCTTTATTGTAAACTGATGAATGGCTAAGTGAATGAATGATGCATGCATGCATATGGATGGATGGATGGATGGATGGATGGATGGATGGATGGATGGATGGATGGATGGATGGGTGGGTGGGTGGGTGGGTGGATGGATGGATGGATGGATGGATGGATGGGTGGGTGGGTGGGTGGGTGGGTGGATGGATGGATGGATGGATGGATGGATGGATGGATGGATGGATGGATGGATGGATGGATGGATGGATGGATGGATGAAAAACACAAAACTTTATTCTAAGACTTTGTGTTTAATAACTTGTACCGGCAAACATACTTACAATTGTTTTAAGGGGGACTTGGTCTTGAAAACAGGGAATTTTTCTAGTCTGTTGTGATCCAAATTTCTTTAAAAGAATTAAGGCATAAAAATAGCTTTAGATCACACACAACAAATAATAATAATCGATTACACCACATACATCTACAAAGGTTTACCCCGGCTTACGGCCTAGGAACTGCGCTGAAATTTCAAAGGAAATTCTTAAGTATTTCTGTTGTGTGGATGTTTGTAATTTGAAGCGGGCGAATAGAGTTTATTAAATTAAACAAAGTAAAATACTTACATTTCAAAAAGGTTCTCGAGGCCATCAAATGCACCATCTTCAACCTCTTTTATGTCATTATTGCTAAGAATTCTACGAGACATTAAATCAATATTTAGTCCGTCAAATCTTAAGGAAGGGTATACCATGAGCTTATCGGATAGCATGCTGATCTGTGGCCTGTTTTTTCCAGGCGTTAAAATGGTGGAGAGTGGCGCGAAATAGAGAGCAGAGGAAAAATAAAAGAGATGAGGGCAGGAGGAAGTCCTCTTGCTGCCCAACCCCTCCCTATCTCTCTAACACTGCCTGTTCCAGGCACCAAGATCAACTAGGGAGAGCGGATCGTGAAAAGCTGCACGAAAACCGCGAACAGAAACTTTCTATGACCCGACTCTCGTAAGCGACTACTTCATCTCCCCCTCATCGCGCAGACCCGCCCGGAAAACAGCTTGATCTTTGCGAATCTCGGATGACCAGATGGAGATGGTGGTCCTCTCTCTTGTAGGAGACTTAAAAGAGTCTCTTCAATGATTAGTACTTATGTGCTAAATACATATAACATTCGCTTTTAAAATGCTCTTTTAGCATTATTGTCGCTACGGAAGAATTAGCACTTGATCAATCACAAAGAAATTATAACGAGAGGTTCGTGAGACTAAACTCCCGTTGCCATCGCACTTGAAAATAAGAATTGAATACAAATTATTGGTCATTAGTATGAAACTAGACGTTTCAGCCAGTTCTGTCAGTTCTCGTCCTCAACAGCTTAGAAAAAGAAGTGGAACGAAAAACATGAAGTACATACAGTATTGCGAGTTTCTTTCGTTGTCTAAGTACTCCAGCTGGGATTTTAGAAAACGACGACTGCATTATACGCCTAGAATAGAAAAGAACGAAGGTTAAAAAGTAATAGCAGCTATGAAATAAGCTATAATGCTACGTGTAAAAAAAAAAAAAAAAACAGTGACAAAAGCAACAAATTTTTCTCGTCCGGTTTTCTATAAAGGAAAAGAGAGCGGGAAAACGCTTTAAATTTGCTAATTCCGGCTTTTTTATTACTTCATAATTAAGTAGGTTGAGTATGATCGTCCGGGTGAACGTATATAGTCCTGAAAATGACTCCTGGGTTCAAACTTTTCACAGTTTTTTTATTATTGCCAAGAGTTAAATTCTTTTCCTCCCCCAGGGATAATTTGGAGTTCTTCGGTCAGATAATAGTACAGTGAAACCTGTATTAAGCGGACACCGTATTAAGCGGACACCCTCTATTAAGAAGACGAAGTTTTGGTTAGGCCTAGATGGTCATGGTTGCCATGTGTTGCTTGAATAGTCAATTTCTTTAGTCGACAAGAGACTGTATTCATTCAACGTAAATCCATATTCAGATTTTTCCCAACAAAATCCTAGATAGGGAGCCCTCTTTCTTATCCCTTTTGACGCCTGCTTTTCAGGTAGACTTTCTCAAAGCCCGTTTCCGTCGCTCGCTTTCGCTCACTCGGCGAACGTCCTCCCGCCTTCGGCTCTCACGGAGTCCACTTGTGGCAACAGTCAGGCTATTCGATAGGATATTAGTGCGTCTGAAGGTTAATCCTAGCACTTAATATAAAACCTAGTCAAAGTTAAAATGCCTTTGCGGTATCCTTTACAATAAAATGCTTTTTTTTTAGCCTCTCCTAAACGTGCAAATATATACACAAAAACAAACGGACGAATTATCAGCAATTCTGCGTGAGAGTCTGAGTGTGTTTAATTCTTGAGGCTACCTCTAAATTTACTGCTGAATGTCTTTATTCTTAAAATGAACTGAAAGCAAAATAATAGCGGATGTAAAGCATGCTGCGCGATAAATAACTAAGGGCCGGATTCCCTTTGTCTGTCAATAATGATGCATAACGCTCTCATAAAGATAAGGCAGGTTTTTCCGCACACGTTTTGTATTTCAGTTGTATCCAAGTGGAAGTAGGAGTGATTAAAAGGCAGGTTATAAATCAGCTTTAAGCTCAGTTTTGTGCGTTTAACAGGAGGAAAACTGAAATAAATTTAAACTAAGTAAAATAACACACTTATACACCTGCCGCACTTGCCAACCAGATCTTTAAAGGCGGGTCCCTTTCTTGGCGTTCACCAGGCTTGGAAAGCTGTTGTTGGAGTGTTTACATTTCAAAATCGAGGCTTTTTAAAATAATTTCCAAATAACATGATAAAAAGTGATCAGTTATCACAACAAACTGGGCTCGTTTATGAGACAGGAACCGCCTTCATAGTTTTTATTCTTAAGATTTTCATTTAGCCCTTTAAGCCCTAAGAGTGATTAGCATCAAATTTTTCCTTGTAATATCTGAATGCTTTGTAAAACAGAGTGGTCATGAGAATTACGGACATGATCACACAAGATAAAATTTGCTTGATATTTTATCAACTTCTCCCCGCTACTTCTGTGGGAAATGAATAGGGGCAACAAATGAAAATTCAAATTTTGATCTTGGCCCAGAAAGTTACTAGGACTGGAGAAACTAGGCCCCAGCATCCGTCTGTGACATGAACGAATAGCAAATCAAGGAACTTTCCTTGAAGGTCATTCTTTATTATCTATTTCTTGTAGAATCGAATGAGCTTCAGTTTCACGAAGACCGTGACGTCAGCTGCTTTGACAAGGACCACTACTGGCTGTGCTTATTCGCTACTAACATGCCCTCGATGAGGACTCATACTTGCTCAATATACACTCTTTTCATATAAGATTGTTGTTTTTTCCTGCCCAGGCTGAATATTCTTATTTTTCTGCCGATTTTAGGTTAAAAATATTCTTGAATTATTCTTAATAATAAAACGTAGCTTATTGCATTTCCGTTTTAGAATGTATTAAGGTTTCAAGTACCAGAGTGTTTTTGCCGTTTAGTGAAAGGAATAATTTTCTATACTACTGTTAACTAAAATTGTTCTGTATGGACATATTTTCAAACAGAAAATTGAGCCCTTTTCATACCCTAAGCCTCCAGTTTATCCTTAAAATATTCTTAAAATTTCGCAAATTTGAGCCTCAATATCCTTATAAAATATATTCTTATATAGAAAGAAAAAAAAGAGTGCCGTAATCTATGTTTTTTACCTTAGTCTGACATTTCTGTGTTGTTTGATACAACTTCAGTGAATTTTTTTAACCGAATGCCCTTTCAGATAAAAATAACAGTCTTCACTTATAGTCTAGAAAGTGGTAGAGCAGATGGTTTCTTGTTTTTAAGGAGAAAAATAAGTTATATCATTTGTTATTTTCTCTTTTTGTTGAATTATCTTCCCTGAAAAAGACCTCACACAGAGGCAAGAGTATTTTCTGCAGGTGCTAATCGATTATGAGTTTGCCGTCTGTATCTAAATGTCCTAAGTAAAAACATATATAAAAATAATAATAACAATAAAAAAATTGAAAAATATTTTCAAAAAAGGTTAAGGGTACCCTGGGAAACCTTATCTCTAACTGAAATTAAGTCCGTGATAACCTTTAACACCAACCGCAAAAAAGACATATATAATTTACACCGTGTTTCAGCCTTATCTCTGTTTTAAGAAGCTTAAAGGAAGTCTGTATTTTATTACAAAAGTTGTTTTGTAGAGTAATAGACCTATTCGGCTATTAGCCGAATAGGTCTATTACCCTACAAAACAACTTTTGTAATAAAATACAGACTAAACTCAATGTTGTACCCAATTCAAATCTCCTGGGATTAAGATTCTTTGTGTATTGATTTGCATTATAATGCGGCATTCACATTTAAATGATATGGAAATTCCTGAAACAAAACGTTTTATTGCCAAAGGGTTTGAATTGGGTACAACATTGTGTTAGCCGAATAGGTCTATTCATCTAAATTTATCAAGATGTGTCTAGCTGTTTCATGGACACGTCTTGCGTGATTATTGTTTACCCAGAGATAAGAAAATGTACCAAAACATCGTGTCATACGTGTCGAGCCTTAATGAACTAGACTTAATTTACTAGTTTAGTATTCTATGTCTGCGCCTGTGGCGGGTTTATGTGTAGAAGGCTGGCTGGGCCATACGTGTGAGTGATTTCCGTCCTCAAAAGGAAGTACTTTGTAAACACTGTGACTCTTCCTGAGGGTGATTGCGAAATACCACGAGGACGCCTTAAAACACATATCGTTTCCACCCTTGGAGCGAAACAAGCGAATAGTTATATCTTCCAGTCTAGGAGCGAGATTTTATAGTATATTGTTTAAGCGTTTGCTTACGGAAGTTAGTCCAGTGGAAACTGCCCATAGTTTTGATTAGTATCACCCCCCACAACCAATCGAGAACTGCAGCAAAATTCTACCTTTTAATCCTGTGAACGAAATCCTCGCGCCGTTTGATTTTCACTACTTTCATTGATCTTAATTTGACGTTTCAATGAATTTTGGGTTCTGCAGTGATGTTACCGTTAGAGCTTCTGAAGACAGACGGGAGTTTATTGATTCTTTTTTACACCAAAACACTCTAAGAGAAACTTTTGACTCTCTTGCACAGAGGAAATAAATTCCACCACGTGATTCGAACAACATCTTAGTCTACAACGTGGACTCGCGGTTTTTTGTCAATTGTGTTTTACTTAATGTTATGGAAATGAATAACGGGGTGTATTTGTACAATGGAGTTTAACTCTGTACGTCATACTGTGAGATGTGTGAGTCCCTCCGTTTTCGCCACGAATGAATGAAGGTCAATGCAATACGAGAATGTGTGCAGCTTTCACTTTTTTCTCCACTTTTGTGCTTTATAAGACTGAAACTTCGCTTGAGAATACTTTTGGCGGCGCAGCTGTGTGGAATACAAGTAAGTGAAACGGTTTGACAGTGAGGAAAAGGAAAAAAAAAAAACTACATCGTGCGTGTCTTAAGTGAGGATTTCATGTGACTATGGTCACACTCTTACATGCTACATTTATATTTCATCCACAGACCAGAATAACAAGCTTACTACACGCGTTCTGCTTAAAAATCTAGTCTTGTGTCTTGAAATTTGCAACAAAAAAAAAAAACGGCGTTTAAATCATTGAAATTAGTACTTACAGATATCTTGTGTTGTTGGGTATATCTTTTAATGTTGGAAAGGAGGTCAGTCCACTGCATCGAAGCTCTACCTCGCTGCAGTT